AAGATTAAAAGTTTTACTTTGATTTTAGTTCAGAAGAGCAGATTTAAAGTTATGCTAAGGACTGCATTTCAGCACAAGATTAAGCTAGTGTCTCTAGTCTCTCTCTCTCTCTCTCCTTTTTTTTTTTTTAGTTTTTTAAGGTTAAGCCTAGGATGGGTAAATATGAAGTTTGCCTATGTAGGTCTACTTAAAATAGATAGTCCTAAAACACACATCTAAGTAATATGCCAGAATTAGAGATTATAGCGTCGTTTCATCGGATGCAATTTAGAGTAGATAACTAAAGATAGACAAAGAGTAACTCAGATATGCTGGCCCTCAAGCTTGTCAGATCTGATGAATATGGCATTGTAACATGTGTAAGCTTATTGTGACAGAGTCCCAAAATCTTGGCAGTAGCTCCCCTAAGGTCTTGAGAAGATTTGGGTACAATGACAGGTAATGGTGACTCTGGATTGTGGTATGCTAACCACTGGACAAGACTGCCTCAACTGACCCACTGCTAGGGCCCAGCCTAAAACTGGACAAAGCTGTGGACACCTGGAGAATTACTGTTTCACATTGCAGGAGGTGAAGTGAGGTTGTTGGGAGCCGCTGGTCTACCAGCTGCTTTGATAGATATCATCGGAAAGACTGCTTTTACCCTGGCCTTCACTGGAGTCAGTGAAAAATTTCTAAGTCTATCTCCTTTTATTTGAGACAGCAAGTGGGATACCTTGTCAAAATCACACCTTGTTTCACTTCCTTGTGAATTTAACTCATTGTGCTGAGGTGCTTTTACTCTGGCTTACAAGGAGTCTGGAATAAAGCAAGGCATCTAGCCTTCTACTAGTCGGAAAGGTCCCATGTGTTGTGTGTTGGTTTATTAATTTTAATCCTCATTCCTGACTCAAAAACTGTTCGACTCTGCTGTTGGGCTCCAGCAGTGAGGTCAATCTCTCATGTTCCTTTTTCCACAGAAGCAGTTTCTCATCTTTTGTGCCTGATGGCTGAATCGCCTCTACTCAGGATGACATAGGACCACAGGAGCTAGGGACACTACCTAGGTGATGGACTTGCCATCTCTGTCATTTTGATTGGTACATTTATTTGGCTTATATTATCCTTCTCAGGTCTCTGATCACAATGACGGCTAGGCTAAGCTTATGGTAACTTTATACAGCTAAAGAGCAAACAATTAGATCTACTGTTAGCCCATTGGTCAGTTCATTAGCTAGTTAGAACTACTAGGTACTAGATCTTTTATTTAGAAAGGCAAACAGGTTTGTCTTGCTCATAGGCTTCATGTTAGTTGCCTGTGTCTTATGTTAAATAACTAGATAGAAAGATGTAAAGTTTACGGAAGGTCTGAGGATATAAAAGTTTAAGTTATGAGGGTAAACTAAATTAAAATATTTTGTTTTACTTTTAAGGATATATTAATTTAAAAAAGAATTTGTGTGTCTGTGTTTGTCTTGTACCACATATAGTTGCCCATGGAGGCCAGAAGAGGGCATGGCATCTCCTGGAGCTGGAGTTACAACTGGTTGTGTCACCTGACATAGGTTTTAGGAACTGAACTCAAGTCCTCTGAAAGACCAGCCAGTGTTTTTAACCACTCAGCCATCTTTCTAGCTCCTCTATTTGTCTATTAAATTATTTTAAGGGTTTATGTATGTAAGTGTTCCACCTATGTTTGAATAAGAATAGCACCCATAGGCTCATATGTATTGAAATGTTAAGGAGTGGCACTATTTGAAAGTTGCTGGGGGTGTGTCGTTCTGGAGCCCTTTGGTGTATCCAGGCACTGATGCATTCAGATGCTGGACTCAAAGGATGAGTCAAAGGGTGGAGAGGTTATCGGGATCTCCATTCAGCAGTAAGTGCTGGGGGTAGGAAGCCTTCTCCAATATAGCTCTTTCAGTGATACAACCCTTTCAGTGAGACAGCTCTTCTTTACTGGGGGTAATAGGGCTACACAAACCTTGGGGAAGCGGGTAGGGGGTTTTGGGTGAGTGTAATTCACTGGCTGCGGCTGAGGTGCTGGGAATGTTTTATTTGTATTGATAGGAATTCCGGTGCTAGCTGGACATGTTTTTATGAGGAAACCTGAAATCTGGTCACCAATCTATGTGACTACTTCAAGGGATGGTGGAGGTGGGGTTGGAAGACCACACACACTGGGACATACAAGCCCAGAACAGAGAGAGAGAGTGATCATTACTCCTACCTGTCTCAAGATGTGATTTTCGTGGTTTGGACACATCTCAACCTCACTCTTGCTCCAGGCCGGTTCCCCTGGTTGCATGGTTCATCTGCCCCACACGGGTAGGTTCTGAGGTTTTAAAAGTCTATGCCCAGTGTCTCTCTGCTGTCTCTGGAGTAAATATAAACTTTCAGCTACTACTCCAGTGCCATGCTTGCCTGCCTGCTGCCATATTCCCCACCATGATGGTCATGGACTCTAAAATTTAGACTCTGAAACTCAGACTCTTCTGTAAGTTGCCTTGGTTGTGGTATCTTAAAGCAATAGAAAAGTAACTAAGATAGCTGGGCATAGTGGTGCACACCTTTAATCCCAGCACTCAGGAAAGCAGAGGCAGGCAGATCTCTGTGAGTTTGAGGCCAGCTTGCCTACAAAGTGATTCCAGGATATACAAGGCTACACTGAGAAACTCTGGGAAAACCAAAACAAAAAACAAACTAAGACAGTAGCCACCTCTGATAGAAAAATAATTCTCACATCCAGGGATGGCTATATTTCCTTTAAAAAAATTTGTTTCACTATGTAATTTTGGCCTTTCCTTAAAAAAAAAAAAGTTTCACTATGTAATTTTGTCTAGCTTATAGCTCCTAGACCAGGCTGGCTTCAAACACATAGAAATCCTTCTCTGTATACTGAGTGCTGGGATTAAAGGTATGTGCTACCACACCTGGCCAAAAACTTTATTGTGTGTGTGCAGGTTTTTGTTGTTTTGAGACAGGGTTTCTCTGTGTAGCCTTATCTGTCCTGGACTCATTTTGTAGACCAGGCTGGCCTCCAACCCACAGAGATCCTCCTGCCTCTGCCTCTCTGAGTGCTGAGATTAAAGGCATGCATCACCAAGCCTGGCCAATTTTTTTTTTTTTTTTATGGTCTAGAGAGATGATTAAGTGCTCTATGATTAAGAGCACTTGCTGCTCTTCCAGAGAATCTCACTCAACTCCCAGTTCCCACCTCAGGCACCAGACAACCTTCAGCTTCAGGGGATCTGATGCCCTCTTCTGGCCTCTGCAGGCACCTGGACTTATGTTTACAGAAACAAAGGTTTATGTTACGTCTGTGTTGACACAGCTGGTCACACAGAGCTATGGTCAGGATGCAGAGCTGTTCATCTCACTTTCTCCTGTGTCATTAGCCCTAGACACCAGCATATGGAGTGGTGGGTCTTCCTTCCCAAAGCTTTGTCTCCTATGTGACTCTAGATCTTGTCCAGCTGGCAGGATGAGTCACGAGTACCTCAAGAAATCAAGCCAAGCGGGATGAACACGGTGGTGTACACTCTTGTGCACTTGTACAGTGATTTGAATGAAGACACCCTAAGGGGCCAACAAGATGGCTCAGGATGCTTGCCACCAATGATAACAACCTGAGTTCTATCTCTGGGACTCATGGTGGAAGGGGAGACCCAACCTCCACAGAAGTTGTCCTCCGACTCCCACATACCTACAGGGGCCAGAGAGATGGTTCTGTGGTTAGTTACGAGTACTTTTTGCTCTTTCAGAGGACCCAGGTTTGGTTCCCAGCTTCTATGTGGTAGTTTATAATCACTGGAAACTCCAGTTCCTATGCCTTCTGACCTCTGTGGGCACCAGGCACGCAGGTGATGCACATCTATTCATTCAGGCAACACATTTTAAAATATAACTAAAAAAGAAATGCCAGGGTAGCTAAAGAGATGGTTCTTTAGTTAAGTGTGCTTGTTGCTTTTCCAGAGACCCAAGTTCGGTTCCCACTCATGTGGGGGAGGGCCTCATAAATGCTCTTAACTCCAGCTCAAGAGCATCCAATAACCTCTTCTTTCTTCTGCAGCCATCAGCTTTCATGCAGCAGGCACAGACATACATTAAAACAAAACAAAAACAAAACCCCACTAACATGTCAGACCACACACAAACATTTGCAAGCATTCAGAACCCAAGTCTATTTAACAAGCGTCCTGGGTGGTACCAACACCGAACAGGGCCCAAGCTGGACTTTAATACTTTGGTCGGTGTCACTGGCCTATCGGTTCCCATCTCCTTGGGAAACGTTCAGCGCCCGGCCCACTCCACTATTTGTAGGGGCTGCTTTCGTAGAGAGAGATTCAGACCGTGCACGGGTTTAACCAAGCTCAGATTCACAAACCCAGACTGGGAGGCGCACACTGGGCTAGGAACAGAAGCCTAGAGCATCCCCAGGCCAGCGGCCAACGCCCCGCCCCGCGCTCGTTCCAGCCGCTCCAATCAGGCTATGAACATGAGGCCTTGCCCCAAAACCAACTACCTGGACCACTCCAGGCCCTCTATGTTCACGATGCCCCGACCCCGGGCCCAACACCCAGGTCTACCCTGGAAAACTGAGGTCAAGGCTCAGTCCTTCAAGACAGACTCCGTGCTTTAGACTCCGCCCTTGATGTCACCCCGCCCGCCCACTCCAGTTAGACTACAAGCCAGAGCTTCCTCACCAAGGTTCTGCCCCCAACCATAATCGCCCAGACGTCTCCAGGCCGGCCGCTCTTTAGGCTCCGCTCTCTAGACCACCCCGCCCAGCCCACTCCAGTTAGTGGGCCATCAAGGCTCGGCCCCCAGCCCGAACAGTCGCGCCCACTCCGGACAGGTTGTGCCCGAGGCTTCGGCTTCCTACTGCAAAAATGCGCACGTGAGGCCCGTGAATTCCTATCTGCGCATGTGTACTCTTGTACGCTAGTGCTCAGGATTGTCACCGCGCTGGCCGGGCTGCGCGCGCATCATAGCTCTCCTTCGTCCTAGTGCGCAGGCGCGGCTCCGCCCCCGCCCCTCCGGCGCTCGGGAGCCCGAGTCCGCAGGAAGATGGCGGCGCCGCTAGTACCCCTCTCACAGCAGGTATAGTGCTGGGGCGCGCCGCGGGGCAGTGCGCACAGCGGGTGCCGCGGAAAGGGCAAGACGTGGCGAAAGCGCGGTTCCATGGAACGCGGCAGCGGAGGCGCGCGCTGACGGCTCCGGCTGCGAAGCGGCGGGGCCGGGTGGCCCTGAAGGTGACAGGCCGGCGCGGCCCGCGGACTGTCGCGCCCGGCGACCCTCCGAGCGGCTGCGAGGTGGTGACGGGGCGCGGCCGCCGCGGCCGTCTGCTCCTCCTGGGGCCTGCGAGCCTCGTCGCCCTTCGTTCCCGCGGAGGTGGGCGAGGGTGGTGGGCCCAGCCTCCAGCCTTTGTCTCCCCGCGGGCTCTAGTGTCCGGGCGGATGGTGTCTCTGCTTGGAGCCGTGCGGGGATCCGGGACACGCCCGCAGCGTCTCCCGCAGCCCAGCCCTCTTTCCCCGGGAAGCGGCTTCCGCTGCCCCGCACGGTGCGAAAAGCGCGGATCCCTGGCCCCCAGGGTGGTGGGCGCCAACCTGCGTCCTCAGAGTTGCCTGATGCTTTTCTTAAGCGTATCAAACGCCATAGGGACGTACAGAAAAGCCACGAGAGGGCTGCTGTGCTTCTAGGCTGAGACATTCATTCATTCTTCAGCCCCTCTAACGTGCACAGGGCCAGGTGCTGGGAGCATAGCCCTCTCCCACTGGCAAGGTCTCTGGGCTTCTGGAGGTGAGACGCTTAAGAAGTAGGAAATACTATTTTGCTAATGGCAAGTGACACGTTTGTCCCCCACAGCATATTATAAGCACTTTGCTAGAATCGTCTTGCACAGGGTCATGGTTACCAGTGAGGAAGCATTTTATGTGCAGATCATGGCCCCAGCTCTTCCTGAGTGTCCTTGAAGTAGGCTTCTTGACCTCGTACACATCAATTACCTCATTTGGAAAATAGAGCTATAAAATACATTAGCGGAAGGCGAAGAACTGTGGAAAGCACATTTTGCCTAATGCATGGGAAGCTCTTGTTACCATCATTAAACTTGGGTGTTTAGGACTCGGTGCGAGGAGCGCAGCAGTCTCCCACTGAGAGGTCGCTGGCCTCAGCAGGTGACCCTTAAGAAGTAGAAATTACTTCTGTATTGCCAATTGGCCAAATAACCCGTTTGTGTTGTCTCCCCCACACCCCCAGCATATTGTAAGCACTTTGATAGAATCGTCTTTCAAAGTACCACAGCCACTATGAGTGCCAAAGCTGGTGAGAACGGTTGGGCAGGCTGGTGCCCAAGTCACATGGTCTGAAGAAGAGTGAAGTACAGGCTTAAGTCCTGGAAGAACTAGGCACTCTGCAGCCTTCTCACTAAATTAACAGAGACCAGTGGTTATTAATTAACATGTTCCTACAGCACCTGTGAATGTCTTCTGTAAATGGTTAAGGACCAGGCAGATGTGAGGTATGTGTTGAAATGGAGCCTTGCTGTGTCGCCCCAGGCTGGCTTCCAATTGCTGGTCTCACTCCATCCTTCTGCTCCAGGCTTCTGAGTAGTCAGGACTGCAGGTGCATTCTGTCATGCCTGGACATAACGTGTCATTGTTAGTAGGCAGGTACTACTGTGTAGGCTCAGGGGAAGGAAGTGATGTCTCGGCTAAAGCCATTAAGGAGCAAGTGCTTTTGGCTTTGCTTTCTTGTTAAAAGTGTGTGTGTGTGCACTTATGTTTTCAGAGACCAGTGGACAACTGTTGGTGTCCACCTCTTTTGTGACAGGCTCTCACTAGCTGGCCGGCAAGCCCAGGGAGCCTCCTATATTCACCTCTGCAGCTTCTGGATTACAAGCATACAACATCATGTGGCAACTTTTTTTTTTTTTTTTAGATTTATTTGTTTAATTTACGTATGTGAGCACTCTGCTTTCATGCACACCAGAAGAGGGAGTCAGATTCCATTGCCGATGGTTGTGAGCCACCATGTGGTTGCTGGGAATTGAATTCAGGACCTCCAGAAGAGCAGCCAGTGCTCTTAACTGCTCAGCCATCTCACCAGCCCCCATATGACTCTGGGGATAGAACTTGAATCCTCATGCATTCAGGGCAAGCATGTTACCAACTGAGTTATCTCCATCCCAGTTATTACTCTGGCTTTTTGAGAAGGTCTTTTCGAATTTCTTAATTTTGACATTAGCCATGTTTGGATTTTTTTTTTTTTTTTTTTTAATTTGAGCCGTGGTAGTAGTAGCTGATGGTTATTGAGTGCATGGGAATTGGAGAGATGCTGTCAATTTTTCCTAAACACCAAAATATCAAGAAAAAGGTTCCTGGCTGTGCATGCTGTTAACTCTCAGCTAGCACTCCTGTAACAGAAAGTTCTAGGCAAGACTGGGCTATATAATGAGACCCTGTTTTGGGGAGGGGGTTTCTATTTTATTAATAAAATAGTTACAGAATAGGATGGTGTTTTGTCAGAGTGAGGTGACAGATGTGAGAACATGAGATTCATCTTCATAGAACCTTCTGGAATAGAATCCTGATTTTCTTTTCCCAGGTGTACATGAGCTTCTGACTTGCCTGCCACATGTTCTCCTTGGCACCACAGTGTAGCCAGTTCTCTGTTCCTTGCATAGCAGCTGTGCCATCATGATGTCCCTGAAAGCTGTCCTTTTTTCTGAAGCACTTCAACTTTTTCCCCTCCTTTGGTTCAGCTCCTGGTTCCTTCCTTTTCTTCAGCAGCAGATCAGATGTCATCCTTCCCAGAAGCCTTTCCTAGTCGTGGCACACAACCATGTGTGCCTCACACAACCCCACAGCCTCCCTCATGGCCCACAGAACACGCCTGCATGTCTGTTTGCTGTCTCTGTCAGACCTGTTGCCAGTGGGAGGACAGGCTACTTGCTCAGTGTCCATCACTCAGGAAGTGTGATCTAAGTGGGTATACGGACTGTGACTCTGACTGTGACTGTGACTGCACCTGAAGCAGCTCCCATGTGACCTCTCTTCCCTGTGTGGGATGGAGCTGTGGGTGGGAACAGGAGTTGATCCAGCACTTGAGGATCATGGCCTGCAGTGGCTTACAAGTGCCTTCTGAGTTGCTTCCCTCCATCCACTCTTATGTTTTTGTGGTGATTCTTTAATTTTTTTTATATTTATTAGTTTATCCCTGTGTGTGTATGTGTGTGGGCGTGTGGGCACATGGGCACATGTGGCAGTCAGAGGACAACTGTCCTGTGTTGATATCCATCTGACTCTGAAGTCTTGCTGTGTAACCCAGGCTTGCCTTAAACCTCTGCTGCTTCTCCTGCCTTAGCTTTGGGAGTACTGTGATCACAGACAATAATGACTGCTTCCTATTTCTTTGCTAGCAGAAGGCCTGGCCCACAACTCTCACACCTATTTTTACAGGGACAATGTACAGAGGGTTGGGTGGTTCAGAGTTTAGGCAACTACCCACTGAGCAATCCTTACATTTATGTGTGTGAGCATGTGTGCATATAGTATTTGTGTGGAGGTCACAGTATATAACCTGAGAGTTGGTTCTCTGCTTCCACCCTGTGGGTCCTGGGCATCAAACTAAAGTCCCCAGGCTTGATGACAAGCGTCCTTATTTACTGAACCATCTCACTGGTACTAAGTTGCACAAGCTGTCCTTGAACTCATGGCAATAACTTCTGCCTCAGCCTCCTAAGTGCTGGGGTTGCAGATGTGAACCACCTCCTCAGTTTCTATACTTGCCCCCTTTTTTCCTTAAGATTTGTGTGTGTGTGCACTTGCTTGCGTGTATATCTGCCTGAGGTGCCTGTTTAGGCAAGAGAGTATTGGATCCCCTAGAACTGGAGCTCTAAGCTAGACCCTCTGCAAGAGCAGTAAGCACTCTTAAAGGCTGAGCCATGTTTCCAGTCCTCTGTGCCTGCCCTTGAAGCTCACATACAGGTGTTACATCACCCAGTAGTAAGACAAGGCCCTACCAAGCTCTTGGAGCAAGCCTACTAGCTCACAAAGGATCATAGGAGAGGCAGAAGAGGGAGGATTCTGGGACACCATTTGGCTGAGGTGTTCTGAACAGAAGGTTGTGGTATGGTTGAGCCTCCAGCCACAGGACCAGGAAGAGTCCCTGCTTTTCTTTCTCTGCCAGCTCCAGGGGATGTTTCCCATGCCTCTTGTTCTCTTTTCCCCTGCCCCTTGTTCTCTTTTCCCCAGCTCCATCCTGACCTGCAGTCTTGTCCTCAGACTGGATTGCACATGAGTGCCAGCAGACCCCCAGGGACCCTTTCTTTTTCAGAGATGCTGGGACAGAGCCTAAGCGCTAGGGCACGGCCTCCTCTTTCAGCCACTTCGCTTGCTTCTCTCTGCTTGGGATTTTGGCTTCCCCTACTCTTCTGGGGCCTGCTGGATTCTGGAATTGGCTACTTCCTGAACTTGGCAGTTCTCTGTGGAGTACGGTGGAGTCTGGGCCTGTCGTAAGTCTATCAGTCTTATTTCCTAACCACCACTGTGGGGATCTTCTAATTTCTCCCTGGCACCAGAACCTTCCATGGCTTGCATTCTCTTGGCAAGGGGCTGGAGATGTAGCTCAGTGGTAAAGTGCCTGCCTCCTCAAAGTGAGTCTGGGCTGGTGAGTCAGCATCCCACAGTCCTACTATGCTCCTCTTTTGGCTCCACTTGACCTTGCTGACTGGCCTTGATATTCCAAATCTCACGTCCTGACCTCTGGCTTTCACTCATCAACAGGCTGTGTCCATCCCTTGCTGTGATGGAGCTGGGAGACTGCTGACTTTTTTATCCTCCTGGACCTCAGATTTCATTCTGCCCATTGCATCTGTGGGTCTTCGGTTTTTAGTCCTAGTCCTCACAGTGAGGATTCCCTAGCCTGGAAGAAAGTGCTGAGGTATACATCTTCCTCCCTGGTCTCATTTCTTACTTCCAGGGGATTTAGGAACACTTTCTTGAATCACATGCCATGATTTTTTTTTTTTTAACAAACCTGCTTTATTTAGGGTTATTAAATGCTTCTAATTCCCTTCCAACCCCCCAACATCAGGTAGG